TCTGCTTTCTCAAGGGGGTGGATCCTAACACAGCCTTATGCCAGATCTCCTCCTGAGTCATTCCTACTCATGCCAGCCTATCAAGAATTCAGCTCACCCTGGTCCCTTCCCAACCTCTCCCCTTCCCTTCACTGAAGCTTTCTCAGCACCCTCCAAGCGTGCTGTAAATTCTATAGCTATCCACTTGCTCTTAATTTCCTCTTAGTGAACTCTACCAGTAAGGATCTGATCTCTTTGTTTCACTGATGTATCACTAAGTGATATCACTAAGTGCCCAGAACAGCCTGGCACCTAGTAGGGGCCCAATCAACATGTGCTGAATGACTAAACAAGAGACAAGCAGCTTGCTTATTCCAAGGAATGCAGGAATGAAAACAGGCTCATTTACCGCAAAGCTACTAAACTTAAGCTTCAGACTCCCTCCCTGCCATTTTTATATGTGTCCTGCTGTTTGAATTCTTTACCAGAATGATAAAGATTTTTATTTTTATTATTTTTATTTTTTTACTATTTATAATGAGTCTTTTTGTGTATCTGGAATATTCTGGTTTTGGAATATTCATAAATCATTTTTATTTGCTTTTTTCCTCACTTCCCTATTCAATCCTGAGTCAATGGACAGGTACTATATGCTGACTCCTGTCCTCACCATTTTTGAGACAGTCTCACTATGTAGCCCAGGGTGGGTGGCCTGAAACTGACAATCCCCCAGCCTTAGCTTTCTGAGTGCTGAGATGACAGGTGGGTACCACCATACCTAGCTAGGCTGGTGTACTTTTATTTTTCAGGGTTTTTAATTTTTGTGCTGGGGGTACAATGTTTATCAGTTTTTTGAGTTTTCAAGCCCCAGATGGCTTTAAAATTTAGATTGTCCTGGCTCATGGTGATATTTTATACCCCCCCCAAAAATTAGAGAAAAGTATATTTTAATTCATTTTGGAAATAATTTAAAACCTATGCATCCACACAGGCACATAGAAAAGTCCACGTATTTATACCAAATGGTAGCAGTTCTCTGGAGCTTAGAGGGGTTTTAGGTGATTCTCTGTGTCTTAGCACATTCGAGGCTCTCAGCCCTGATTTGACATGACAGAACTGAGTCCTTGGAATCTACCTGTCTCCGCTTAGCCAATGCTGAGGGTCTAAACGGATCTATGAAAGACAGAGGATGGTAGGCAGGTGTCTTATTTTATGTTAATATTTTCATGAATCATTTTAATGTATGCAACGTAGTGGTGTTTAGTACATCCACAGTATTGTCCAACCAAAACATTTCACAGACACACAGACACACACACACACACACACACACACTGTTTTGCTGAACTATTTAATAGTAAGTTGCTGACATTGCGGCATTCCATCCTACATTGTGTTTATCTGCTATGTCTGCTAGCCTTCAATCTAGAACTCTTTTTTAAATGAAGGTGACATCTTGTTGAAGATTATACTTGACATCTTTCTTTACTAGATGTAATCAATTTGCTCATTAGTAAGTTTATGTATTTTAGGAATCAGTAGTGTATCTATTAGGCATCTTATCAGGAGATACATAATGTCAGTTGGTCCTATTACAGGTGCGGCACAGTTGATTGCTTGGTTAAGGTGGTGCCTTGCCGGATCTCCCCATTATAAAGGCATTTTTCCTCTGAAGTTAGAGAGTTGATACTTCCCCAAATCTCAAAATACTATGGTCTGGATTAAAACTTAGATCTGTCTGAGCCCAGATATTGTGCTTTTAATGAATCCGTAACACTGCCTTTGCCAGACCATCATCTCTAAAAGCATTCTTTTTAGTTGATGTGAGGCATACCACATATATAATTATTCTCTTATTTTTACAGTTTTTTTAAACTTTTCAGTTAACTTTTGCAAATAAATCTTTGTGTGTGTTTCTGTTTTCTTAAGCTAGCTTCCCCACAGTGCAAGTACTGGGAGGAGTTTACAAACACCATTAATGGCGCCACTGTGCACGCCTAAAACTGTACAAGCATGACTGTCTCACAGCAATCTTCCAAGTGATGTCTTTTGACTTCTAAACAAGTTTTCCACTTTGTAATGTTGGGTTATTGGTGAAGTTGAACTCTTATGTTTATTAACCTGTTATGCAGACAGTTTTATTTTTGTAACTATAAGGGTTTCAACTCCTTATGAGCCTTTGAGTCAAGGGAAAAAATAAGTAATACCATTTCCTGGGAAAAAATTAACATATGCTCCCTTTCCTTTTTTCCCTTCCCCTTTCCCTTCCCTTCTCTTTCCTTGCCTTAACAGGGTCTCACTATGTAGTCCAGGCTGGCCTCAAACTCAAAATCCTCCTGCTTCTGCCTCCTGAGTGCTGGGATTACAGACTTGTTCCCTTACATCCAGTTTATGGGATTTTCTTACTTTAAGAAAGCTTCTGTGCCTCAAATGGTAGAGTACTTGCTAGGCAAGCACCAAGCCTTGAGTTCAAACCCTAGTACCACAAAAACAAACAAACAAAAAACTATTTTATAGTTGGAGGTGAGGCTCAAGTGTTATAGCACCTACCTAGCAAGTGTGACGCCCTAAGTTCAAATTTTATATACTTCAAAAAAAGAAGTATATAAATGGAATCATATATAATCTTTAAAAATAGCTTTGAGATTTAATCACATTTTTCATCATTTTAAAATGTAATACTGTTTTAAATGTATTCTCAGAGTTGTACAATTATCACTGTAATTTTAGAACATTTCCATCAGCCCCAAAAAACCTGTAGCACTGACCCCGCCATTTACCCTCCCCTCCCCCTCCCTCTTCCCCAGCCAGCCATAGGAAGCCACTAATCTACTTTCTGTCTCTACAGATTTTCCTATTCTGGACATTTCATATAAATGGGACAGATGCTAAAAACGATCCAAATTTACACTTTAAAGGGATTAAGTATATAATATGTGAATTTTATATCAATAAAGCCATCCTCTGTGTGTGTGTGTGTGTGTGTGTGTGTGTGTGTGTGTGTATGAGACCTGGTCCCCCAAACTGTATCATCTTCCCATGAAATCGGCTCCTCCATCTCCCTCCTTTTTATGGGACCGTATCATCCAACCACAAACTTTTCCTTCCTTCCCTCTCAAGCCATCACTTCCCAAACACTGCAGGTTAATCCCTCACAATAGCCATGCCCATTGTTGGCCACCTGAGTGGGACTGTCACAATGTCCTGCCAGATTTATCTTCCCATGGATTACAGGAGACCCCTGAGGGCAAAGTGTGTATCTTCCCACGAAGCTGGGGCCCTCAGCCAGAGTCATGCCCAAGCCCTTCACCATGAGGGTTTCCGCTGCCTCCCCTCAGCAGACGGGTTTTAAAGCTAAGGCTGTTTGCCCTTCAGATGGCGCTGAGGTGCAACTGTGCTACGCCTCTACGTCTTTGGGGTCGACTCTGGTACAGTGCTTGACAGCACTCTTCGCCCCAGTTCCTCCGCCTGTTCGTTACCTCAGGTCCCAGCACCCACAGACTCACAGACCGCGCACCTGCGTCCTGTCCTGATATCCAGGACGCGCTAATGTCCACTGTGTCGCTCCCGCCGGAGCGCGTGACCACCGGCAAGCCAGGTCCCCAACCCTCTCCAGGACGCGAGGGCCCGCTGGGGCAGCCGAGAGACTCACCGCACACCCCGATCAGCTCCCGGGATCTGAGACTCACAGCACCCCCAGCGAGCCGTCCCGGGATGCAGCTGTTATCTTGTTGTCAAGCAGGTTGCCAGGCCCCCTGCACTTCTTATTGGCTGATTCAAGGAAGCAAGAGGCGGCTTTTTTTCTTTTTTAGGCATGGTCTTGCTATGTAGGCCAGGGTGGCTTGGTGTCCAGATATTGAGGGCTCCTGTCTCAGCCTCCTGAGTGCTGACATTCCAACATAAACCACCATGCCTGGCTTGAAACGTGTACTGTCTCGGGGCGCAGTGAGGACTAAAGGAGAGGGTGGCCATGAAGCTGGAGCACAGAAAGTACGAAGGAAGTGCCATGTACTTTGGTCCTGACAATTTCTACCTCTCCACCTTGCAGCACAAGGTCGGAACATCCTCCCTCTTCCCTCCCCCATTTTTGAAGTTGGTGTGAATGAAACAAGGTAAGCAATGTCACTGCCACAGGGAAGCTTTCTGGGCCACTAAGAAATTTCTTTCCAGCTTTGCAGTGGCCGACCTTCAGCAGACCTTTCCTGAAGCACTCTCTGAGTTTTCCTGGATTCCTGATGGCTATGTGGAGTGAGCAAGACAGAAACTTGTTGTAGTAAGCCAATTAGCCTAACTCAGAAGTCCACAACCTATTGACCTTGGGCCAAATACTGCCCACCACTTGCTTTTGTAAATGAAGGTTAACTGGGATGGGAGCATGGTCACTATGCCTGTGTTATCTGCAGCTGCTTTAGAACTTCAACCTCGGAGTTGATGTGGACTGCAATGAGAAACATTCACTATTTGACCCTTCACAGAAGTTTGCTGACCAATCAAAACCAATAAAGTGAGAAAAAAAATCAAACTATCTGTGATCTTACACAAGTTACTTAATAGTTCCGTAATCTTTTTGTTGCCTGGTGTGTAAACTGGAGATAAAACAAGTATCTATGTAACAAAGCTGCTATGAGAATTACTGTGTGTAAACACTCAGAACCAGGACCCAGAGGTCTGGAAGGGAAAAGCTAGAGTATCTTGAAATAAGGCAGGGGGGGGGGGAGTGTGGATATAAACTAATGGATATAAAATTACTAAGGCAAGAACCTTGTATACTATAGGCATTCAATTAAGTGTTTGCAATTTTTTTATTCCAATGATACAAAAACAAAATATATTTGAAACAAAAAATAGTAACAGTAGTTATCTTTAAAATAATAAAAAGGTAGGACTAGTAGTGGTTCCATTTTTATTCCATTGCATTTATTCTATAATGAACACAATTTTTTAATTGGGAAAGATGGATCAGTGTGTTTTTTTTGTGGAACTGGAGTTTGAACTCAGGGCCTAGTGCTTGCTAGGTAAGCATCAATGTTTCTTTAATGCTGAAATTTTCTGTTAATATTTCTAACATTTCACAAAACATCTTTTGTTGACATTCTACAAATGACACCATCCAATAATGTTCCAATACTCTCTTCTTGTGAAGACAGTTTGTATATCTGTAAGGAAAGACAAATTATGACTTGGTGATATATTCATACACCAATGATTACTATTATACAAATATGTAAGTGAAATTACCATTCAATTGTTGGTATAAAATAATGAATTACCATTAATTATTTTTGGTATAAAATCCCAAACATGATTGAAATATCCAAAGTAGATGGCATTCATCACATATGGCAAATATTCCCTTTAAAGTACAGCCATGAACAAAAAAAGCCAAATTCTCTAAACATAAAAAACATTTTAAAAGCATACATTTAAGTCAGGCATGGTGGTGCATACCTGTAATCCCAGCACTCAAGAGACTGAAACAGGAGGACTGTAAGTTCAAGGCCAGCCCTGGGCTATAAAGAGAGCCCTTGTCTCACAGAACCAAAATTAAAAATAAATAAATAAAAAGTATACATCTAGATTTTAGATATTAACTTCATATTTTATATTCTAAATGTATTATATAAGCTTGATATTTAACAATATCCATTTTCTTAAAGTGGAGAATGCCTTTTACTAACTATATTTCTAATTATACTTTATAAAAAGCTACACCTTTCATGTGTTTGGTTTGGTTTGGTTTGGTTGCAATAGGGCTGCACTACATAGCCTGGCTTGGCCTCTAGCTCTCTATCTGTCTCAGCCTCCCAAATGCTAAGATGCCAGATGTGTGCACCACCACACACAGCCCAGTTTTTTCTGTGGTACTGGGGTTTGAACTTAGGGCCTTATACTTGCTAGGCAGGTGCTTTATTCTACTGCTTGAGCTACACCTGTTGGCAAGTTTTTTAATCTGTAATTATTTTTCAAGTAATTTAAAAAACTGCATTATTATTTCTTTTTTTTTTTTTGCGGTACTGGGATTTGAACTCAGGTCCTCCACCTTGAGCCACTCCACCAGCTCTCTTTTTGTGATGGTGTTTTTTTGAGATAGGGTCTTGTGAATTATTTGCCCAGGCTGGTTTTGAACCTAGATCCTCCTGATCTCTGCCTCCTGGGTAGCTAGGATTGCAGGTGTGAGCCGCTGGCGCCAGTCTGCATTACTATTTCTTAAAAGCTCAAAAAGAAGGTGCATTGGAATTAATAAATAGCATCAGCATTACTCTTCATCTATTACCCTCTAAAAATATGGGTCTACAAACCTTTTTGACTTCTGAAATATTTGTTATTTCTGAAAGACTTTCCAGAGAAACCAGATGACCTTCCACTTGAGATATGAGGTATTCTTGATTTATTTGTTTCTCTCCCTCTTCAATGTAAACAATTAAAATTGAGGTGTCATTTGCTGAAATGCCAAATTTTTTCAAAGCCTCTGAAATCTAAGGAAGAAACCAAAAACTGAGAAACAATGAACCAGTGTTTCCTATGTCTTAAACATCCCCTGACCTACTTTCCTCCTCAGTCAGGTTCTTCCTGTTTTTTGCATCCCAGTTTCCCCTTTCAAAAATCCCTTTTCAACATCTACTCTTACTGTCCCTACAGTATTCCCTGTTTAAGGATGCACCTTGCTCCTATAGAATCAAACCCGGATTTCTTGGCACTGCATGCAAACAATCTCCTTCTGGCCCCAAGTGACTGTCCAGGCACACACTCTGGACTTCTGGTTGGGCTGGGACTACAGAAGAGTATGAAATACTGTTCCGCCAGTGCTCATGCTTGTCCACTGTTTGGTCACCCTTCTCCTCATGGCTTGGTTACTGAATGCATGCTTCAAAGCCTAGCTCAAAGGCAACTCCTCACTCTAAAATGAATGGCTTCTTCACTGCTCCCCTAGACTGGAATTTATATTCCCATTGCTTCATTTATCTTAACTTTTGTCTTATTCATCTGCCTTTCCTCAGGAACACATTTGCTTCTTTTGCCCTAGAGCTGTAACTTGAACAGGAATAGTGTCTAGAATTATTTCAAATGACCTCCAAGAAACAATAATTATGTGGTAAATTTTATCCCAAGCACTGGGGAATTCTATTACCATGCTGAGGTAACTTCATTTTACGAACTTTATGATCATATGTATTTTAAATCATACCACAGGCTTCCTAATTCTTCTCCTGAATGATAGTAGTTGCTGTAGTAGTGATACTAAAACTTCATCAGCAAAATTCATTCCTTTTTTCTCATGTGCTCCGCACATGTGGAATGTCATTAGCTCACAACTTTTATTAAGAAAGCATTCCTAGGGCTGGGTATGGCTCAAGTGGTAGAGCACTTCCCAAGCAGGTGTGATGTCCTGTACCTCAGCACCACCAAAATAAATAAATAAATAAAAGCATTACTATGAGAATTTCAAACCACAAACCTTCCTATGCACTGAGTGTGTGAAAGGGCATGTGGTAAGGGCTATACTAGGTACCAGCAAATTCCAGGCACTGCATATGGGTAAGACATGCATCCTACCCTCAGGAAGTTTGAGTGGAAGATATCAGGAGCACACAAAATATCTATGACTAATGTTTTATCATCTGAATTACTGTCAGTTTCGTAACCAAAAACACTGGAGGGATCTTCCTGACCCTACATGGGTCATGGTAGGGACAAATAATACTAGCCTCACTTAATTTTAGTTAAACTTATAAACAAAGCTTATCTGTCTAGTAAGAAGCAGTGCTAAACCTCAACTTTCTGTCCAGAGCTCTCTTAACAATTATTTTGGCTTATTACTAATAACTGTTTTCAGGAACTTTGCCTCCAACCCAACAATGGGAAACACTTATGCTATTATGACAAGGTCATAGAAATTAAGTCAGTAAATTCCACATTACATTGTTATTTGGGGAAAGGTTGAAAATAATTTCAGTAGCTAGAGTTCTTGTCTTCATTTTTCCCAGTTTGTACAGGTGAACTGCTTTGTTTGCTGCTATAAGTATCTGAAATGGATCAACAATCTACCAAAGAAAATAAAAAGAATAATTAAGAGTCTGCAGCATTCTGAAGACATACACTTCTCCCTCCCTCTCCCCACAGTAACTCAGTACCCACTTGTTCTACTTCATTGTGAATCTTTTTTTTTTTGGCAGTACTGAGGTTTGAACTCAGGGCTTCATACCAGCTTAGCAGATGCTCTATTGCTTGATCATCATTATTCTTATGGACTATATTTTTAAAACTATTATCTCAAAGGCCAGGATAATTAAAAAATATATAGAATTTTAAAGCTGCAAGGCACTTAGTTTTTAAAAAATCCAAATAACATTGAGGGAAAACATGCAAAAGGCCATATTCGAACATTTTAGCTGTATTTTTTTAATCCTCTAACTACTCAATTAAATCAATATTATTCGCATGTAATAGATGAGGGAACTGAAGCAAAGGGTTTGAATTCCAGCTCTGTCACTTACCAGTTTGGGAACTTAGGCATGTTTCTTAGTATTTTACTGTTCAAGGCAGAAAGTAACAGTACTCACTTCATAAATTGTGGATTGAGCTAGGATTTATAAAGCACTTAGAACAAGGCTAGGGACAGATTAAGCACTCTGTAGGAGCTGGCTAGGACTTGCTCAAGAGAACAGTAAGTGGCAGAGCTAGAATTAGGTCCTGGTAACATGATCCCAGTATGTGCTCTTCACCACTTCGATATGCCTCCTCCACAGATACTGTCTTATTCAGAATCCACAGGTGACAAGCTGAAGACCAGGCATCTGCCAGACCACAATTCACAAATGTAGTCAGAGCTAGACTACAACCCTTCTTATTTTCTAGGGCAGGGTCTGGCACTTCTGCCTCCATTTACTGTTAAATTCAAGGATGGCCAATTTTGACTTGGGCAAGAACTTTTTACCTCAAGACAACCAAATTTTAGACTAACCTAAATTGTGAAAAGTTAGCATCTTCTTAAGTGTTCAGTATGGCTAATTAATTTTTACACATTGTACTTACCACTGTAGGACTTATTAGTGAACCATCAATAGTGCCTTCCATGGCTTTTTTTCGTAAGTCTCCAGCATTCTTTACATCTTTAAATAACAGAAGGGTCACACTGCATTCAGGAAAAAGGTCCAGTTGGTGTGTTAACTGCATTTCATAGACAAGAAGGATTCTACTGCACAAAACCAAAAAATTTATTTAAAAATTAAGGTTATAACTCATTTCTTTTTTTTTCTTTTATTCATATGTGCACACAATGTTTGGGTCATTTATCCCCCCTTCCCCCCACCCCCTCCCTCTCTCTATAACTCATTTCTTAGCAAATATCCTTGCTAATAAGCAAATGGAACTAATTTTAATTTTAAAAAATCATATAACTAGTACATTAGAAAAATCCATCCTCAAATCACATTTGGCATCCTTATTAAATGCTGTCTTTCTAACCCTGCTGAGCTGTTTCTATTTCTTTTCCATTCCTGGGAAAAAGTCATGGGAGTCAGCTGGTCCCCTGCCTGTCAAGATGGGAGGCTGCTTGGTTGAGGGACTATTTCCCCAATGGACAAACTACAAGCAGAGTACCAGGAATTTTCGGATTACAGGCTACTTATGGTACCAATTAAACCTTATTCCATCTTATCCTTTTTAATTTTTTGATCTATTTAATTTATATTTTAGCAGAATCTAGCCACAAATACTAATTCTTTTTTTTTTTTTTTTTGGTGGTGGTTATGGGGTTTGAACTCAGGGCCTCACACTTCCTAGGCAGGCATTCTGCCAGCCCCTTCTGTGCTGAGTATTTTTGAGACAGGATCTCTCAAACTGGCCTGGCCTCATTGAGACCCTCCTGATCTCTGCCACCTGCATAGCTAGGATTATAGACATGAGCCACCAGCGCCTGGCCAAGGAAATATATTTAAAGAATAAAATATCATACTTGAACCAAAGATATTCATTCCACATGGAAATTAGCAGAGAGCACAAAATTACTAAACAATACTGGCTTTTTGGGGGTCTTGTTTTTTTGGCAGTGTGGGGGTCTGAACTCAGGGCCTCACACTTACTAGGCAGGCACTCTACCTAGTACATTCTGCCAGCCCCATACTGGCCCCTTTTTAGACATAAGCACAACAGGAAGATATGAATGAAGCATATGAGCCAGGGTTGTACTCAGTGGTAGAGTGCTTGCTGGCTATGCCCGAGGTCCTGGGTACAACAGAATACTGTACCCATGAATGGAAAAACTAAGTATGGCAAAAAAAAATTTTTATTTTTAAAACAATTTTAATCATTTTTTTTTCTTTCTCATGCTGCGGAGTAAACTTAGGGCTTCACACAAGCTAAGCAAACACTACCAACTCAGGTTCACTCCAGCATCAATGTGTCTTAATGATATTTTGGTGGGACAATGTGCTAGGCTCATTTCATCCTTACACTTGGTAGGCCCCATTTCTAGGACTCTTTCTCAAGGAATTAATTGGGAATTTGAGAATTATATAATAAGCTGCCTCTGTCATTATGTTAACAGTGAAAAGCTGAGAACAACCTATTTAGCCAGTAGGAGTTTAGATGTGACTAAACAACCATTAATAAAAACTACAGTATTGCAGGAAACTTGGCTCAAACACAAGGTCTTGAGTTCAAACCCCAGTAACACCACCACAACCAGGAAAAAAAAAAATGACCAATAAAAATTCTGTTTTATTAGTAATATAGCTCAGTAGTAGAGTACTTGTCTAGTATGTACAATCTCCCGGATTTAATCTCCAGCACTGAATAAACAAAACAAAAACACAAAGCTGTAGTGCCAAATGTTTGATGTGAGAAAGCAGGATTAACATTAAATAAAAACACCTGAATGGAAAACAAAAAAAATGTAGCTAAACTATCAGTTTGTCAGGGTTCTTTTTTTTAAAGCTGCATATAAAGAAAAAATACTCAAGAGTCTGACACTGTGGCTCACACCTTAAATCTCAGCTACTCAGGAAGCAGAGATCAGGAGGATCACTGTTCGAAGCCAGCCTGGGGAATTAGTTCATGAGACCCTATCTTGAAAAAAATCCATCACAAAAAAAGGGCTGGTGGAGTGGCTCAAGGTATAGGCCCTGAGTTCAAATCTCAGTATCACACAAAAACCAAAATATATATAGAAAACATATCAAAAAGTTTAAAAGTTATCTCTGACTTGCTGAAATTACATTTGATTTTTTTGTTAAAACAAAAAAAGAATATTTATAAATGATATCCAGGCACACAACAGCAATTCACTTTATTCATGCTAATGTCTACTGAAAAGATGCACAGAAAAAAAAAGACATGAAGGAAACAAATCAAAATATAGCCATCTTGAGAACAGAGATTATTAGATGGTTTTTATTGTCCTTTGTATTTAAAAATGTATTTTGTGTATGGCCTCAGTTTTCTATAGCAAGCAAACAAAACATAAATATCTATGATCAGGGAGAAGAAAAATGCCTTATGTTTTTTAATAATAGGGAGAAAAAAAAAGAGTCCTTAGAAAGTCTCAAGAGTTTGTTCTTGTTTAACGTAATTCACTCAGGAAACTTTAGAATCATCATTGGATAGTGCTATGGTTTGTCCAGTGAAACTCATGTTGAAATTTAATTCCAATTATGAGATATAAAAAGGTGGGGTCTGGTGGTACTTTAAAAGGTGGTTAGGACTTTGCCCTCATAAGTAGATTAATCCACTCATGATGGTTAATACATTAATGATTTATCTCTAGAATGCGTCTGTGGGACTGGAGGTGAGCCTCAAGCAGTTCCTGCCTTGCAAACAGGAAGCCCTGGATTCAAGTCCCGGTATCACACATACACACACAAAATCTGCCATAAAGGTCAGTTAAGTCTCCTCACTTGCTCCCTGTCTCTTGCCTTGTGACACCTTCAGAACTGTGTCAGCAAGGCCATCACCAAACGTGGCCCCTGGACCTTGAACTGGATCTGTTGGCCAAAATAAATAAACTACCTTTAAAAAACCCAAAAAACTGAGCCAGGTGCCAGTGACTCACACCTGTAATTTTTTTTATTGGAAATATATTTTATTATTAGATAAATAAGACAATTTCCTTTCAGAAATTCCTTTATCCAAGATGAAAACTTCCTAAGAAAACTTCAGTCACTAGTACATTCAAAAAAGATTGTACTTTTAAATTGTCCCTATTATTTCCTTTGCTTAACATTTTTTATTTTATCGTTTTTACATTTACTCATGTGTATGCACTGTTTGTGGCACCTCCCTCCCTTCCCCTAATCTGCATATGAGGGAGAACATGCGATTTTTGGCCTTCTGAGCCTGGCTAACTTCGCTTAAGATGATGTTCTCCAGTTCCATCCACTCACTTGCAAATAATAAAATTTCATTCTTCTTTGTGGTTGAGTAAAATTGCATTGTGTATAAATACCACATTTTCTTAATCCATTGGTCAGTACTGGGGCATTTTGCTGTTTCCATAGTTTGGCTATTGTGAATAGTGCTGCAATAAACAAGGGTGTGCAGGTGCCTTTGTAATAACCTAAGTCGCATTCCTTAAGGTATATCTCTAGGAATGGTATTGCTGGATCATATGGCAGACTAAGTTTAGTTTTTAAAGAAGCCTCCACATTGTTTTCCAAAGTGGTTGTACTAGGTTACATTCCCACCAGCAGTATGTGAGGGTTCCTTTTCCCCCAGTCTCCTTACCAACATTTGTTGGTGGTGGTCACACCTGTAATCTTGGAAGGCTGAGCTGGAAAGTATTGTTGGAGGCCAGCTTGGGCAAACAGTTCTCCAGCCCCTACCTCCAAAAATAACCAGAGCAAAATGGACTGGAGGTGTGGCTCAAGCACCTGCTTTGAAACCCAGTCCTACCAAGAGAGAAAAAAACAAAAAAAAGCTTACCTGTCTGAGGGATTATATTAGCAAAATAAAATGGACTTTCTTAGTCCATACGAAAGATTACATATTTTACATTCAAATCCCATATTTAATAGCTACAGTCTTGAATCCTTACCTCCTAAATATATTTTTAATTTGCCCATTTCTTTCCTTATCTCTTAAATATATTTTTAATTTACCCATTTCTTTCTTACCTCTTAAATATATTTTTAATTTGCCCATTTCTCTCCTATACTCACTGCCCATCATCTGCTTTCTACCCTAACAGTGACCTTACTGAAATCCTTGCCCTCCTATAATCCAACCTTCGCCGGCAGTCATAGTGATCCTTCCAAATGCACATCGGATCTTGTCGTTCTAGTGCTGTGATGCTAGGCCCTAACTTTACATCACGGTGCCTTACATTCTACGACCTGGGTCCTGCTACCCGCGCTGGCCTCTCAGCTTCAGGTCACCAAGCCCTCCAACAGGTGGTTGCCCTCCCCTAGTCATCTCTCCCTTACTCTTTCCTCCCTCAAACCCATGTAATAGAGCACCCAGGGCACCAGCACCACTTTCACAAACCGTGCGCCTATCAGCGCTGCTTTTAAGACATAGGGTCTGCATGCGTTGCTCAGGCTGGTCGAGAACTCCGAGGATCTAGGGTTCCTCCGCCTCCCAGGTAGCCGGGACTGCGGGCACGGGACATGCGCTCGACTGTCTGTCCGTTTTATCTGCCCACTATATAACCTGTATTTCTTGTGAGGACAGGCTGACTCGGTCATTTCCATGCTGCATTCTCGGACTGGCCTTGGCAGGCACCTGGTAAGGCTGAGCGGAGGGAGCCACAGGGATCATACAAAGAAAACTGCTAAAGTTGCCGGAGACGAGCCCTCACCTCCCCCAGCCCGTCACCTCGCGAGCAGAACTCACGCTCCAGCACGGTCCGTCCGAGAAGATATCCCCTTCGGAAACAAAGCCCTCAACTTCCGGAGATGGTGCTCAATCCCCGCCTACCGGATCCGCTTTCTAGGAAACTGGCTTCGAGTCAACCATGTCGTTCCGGATTCACAGCGGTCGTCGTTTCCTCTGGTGATTCCTCCTTCCAAAGCTGAATCCTGGGTGGCGGAAATGAAGGAGAACATGTGCTACGTCGTCACTTCGGGCGGAAGCGGAAAGGATCCATGGGCCCGGGCCGGAAATTGAGGTCCGGTTTGAGTCTGTGCCTTGTCTTTAACTTATGTAGTACCCTGCGTCGGAAGTCCTCAGTATCTTTCTGTAAAAAGAAGAAATATTCACCAAGATGAGCTGTACACATAGTTTCCACTGCCCGAAATTCAAAATTTTTTTCAGGGGAGTCGGGACTCAGTTTGCTTCGTGCTTTCCCTGCAGTCACTCCTTTGGTGATGTGTTTGGGAGATGACAGTATATGGACAAAGTCAGCCTAGTCCGTCCTTCCATCTACAGTAGGCTCAGAAATATGTGTAATCTCTGTGTAATCCTCCCGGAGAAGCTAAACAGGCTATAAATGATTTTTCATTTTCTTTATGGTTGGGGCTCATCTTTATCAGTACATTACTTTTCTTTGCATGGAAAGACAGGCAATATAAATTACTGTCAAGTAGATATGTGCTATGGAGAAAAATAGAAAAGAGAGGGAATGCCGGTCTTTGGGTATTATTGTTCTAAATAGTATAGTTAAGCATCACACACACACACACACACACACACACACACACACACAGAGGTCCTTGTGCATGGTAGACAAGCACTGTACCAATGAGCTACATCCCCAGCCTGTATTTTAAAATTCATTCTGACAAAAGAATGGGTTGCAGATTATAAAATAATAGTAATAATAAAACAATCCAAGTAAGAATAGGTGACATTTAAGCAAACACTTAACAGAAATAACACAAAATGAAAAAAAAAAAAGGCCAGGTACAGTGGCTCAGGCCTGTAATCCTAGATACTCGGGAGGCAGAGATCAGAATTGACTTTGGAGGCAAGACCTGGTAAAAATTTGTCCAGACCCCACCTCAACCTATAGCTGGGTGTGGTGGTATGCACCTGTCATCTCAGCTATGTGAGGCATAAATAAGAGGATCATGGTCGAGGATGATCTGGGCATAAACAGGAGACCGTATCCCCAAAATGACAAGCACAAAGGGCTGGGGTGTGGGGGGCAATGCTCAAGTGGTAGAGCAAGCACAAGGCCCTGAGTTCAAACTCCAATGCCTTAAAAAAAATTTTTAAATATCTATGTATATGAAAAGCTTCTAATATTATCAGTCTCTTGATGACTAAAATTTCAAGCAAATAGCTACTTGTCAAAATGGAACCCTCATATATTGCTGTGCTGAATGTAAAATGGTGTACAGCCCTTCAGAAAAGTTTCAGTTTCTTTAAAAAAGTTAAAGTGTAAACCTGTCCAGGCTTGTTGAAGCAGATTCACTGTGCATTGGTTACCAACTTATTTGAGTTCAGTGTGTAAGGGATGGGAATCCTATTCCCTTGAGAGACAGAAAGCCAGCCGAGAAGGTAATTGCCAAAGCAGAGTTTATTTAACTGGCTAGCCAGGATCGAGCTCAGTATGGACACGCAGGTCCAGTCAGGAAAGCTCGACCCCCAGTCTTCTTAGGGGAAAGCTTATATAGTCCATTTCCAGCCGTTACAATGAAAAACCCGCACATTTCTTAACCAATGATTTTGTAACATCCCCCCTCACTTCAGCCTATTGAGCAACAGAACAGTAACAAGCATACTTCGTTTATCTGCATTGGGCAGGCAGGCAGAACACGTCCTGCACATAGCTCACATCCTGCACGTTTCCCCTGCAATCGTGTCTGAGTCATGTCCTGCTGCTTTGTTCATCTTATCTATACCAAAGATGGGAGGGGGTTATAGTTTTGTCTGTCATAACAGAGTTTAGTCCCTCTCAAGTGGAGCAGAACATCAACGGTAGACATGTAGTGAGGCACCACAGACACTTGGAATTCATTTCAAGGTGGTCTCCCAAAGCTCAAAAAGCTGACCAGGGTGGATGGAATCTCACCTGCACATGTTCCAGTTCTACCACATCTGAAGGGCCCCAGAAAGTAGCCTACCCTGGAATTTATACCCAGTATGGTGTGCAACATGACAGATTGAGATAAAACATTAAAGGACATCCTTGTAACTGGGTGCAGTGGGGAACAGAGCCTGGACTATTCTGGCTTATCTCTCATCACAGCGTGCTGCATTCCTAGCACATTCTAGTTATTTTTGAGAACCACAAATAAGAGAGAACTGGGCAGGTCCAAGGGCACCCAGAAAACTGTCCAGCTACTTGTACATGAATGCTGAAATGAACTTTGCTTGTAATAGGCATATACTGAAAATACTCAATGTCCATCAACACGTCAATGCATAAACAAATTATGGAAAATTCATACAATAAAATACTTCTCAATGTTTAAAAAAGGGATTGGGGAAATAAGGGAATGAGCTACAGATATTTCCAACAATTTGTCCAATACAGATAAATCTAAAAAAAATGTTCAACAACAATGGTGAAAAACTAAAATTACATTACTGTAGGATTCTATTTCTATAAAACACTAGGAACTATAAATTTATTCTACAGTAACTGACAGCAAATCAATGGTTGCTTGAGATGAGGGATTCTTTATGTATTACAAGAGTATATAAATTTGTCAAGATTCATCAAAGTATGTACTTTAGATTAATTTTTTTTGGCAAGACTGGGCCAAATTTTTTTGGCAGGAATTCAGGGCCTCAAGATTGCAAGGCAGGTACTCCACCACTTGAGCCATGCCTCCAGCCCTAGATTAATTTTATAGAGTATAAATAATGTCACAATAATATTGATTAAAATACATTTAAATGTTGTCTCAGTTCATAGCAGCTTGCTCATAACCATCAAAAACTGGAAATAGGGCTAGGGCATAGCTCAAGTGGTACATCACTTTCCTAGTAAGTACAAGGCCCTGGTTTCAACCCCCAGTACTTGAAAGAAAAAAAAGGTGGAAACAACTCACATGTTTATCAAATGAATGGGTAAACAAACTGTCATATCTATATAATGAAATACAACACAGTAATAAAGGAATCAACGACTGCTACACACAGTAACAGGGATAATCTCAAAATAATATTGAATACTTCTAAAAGAAGCCAAACATAAATGAGTACATGCTATGTGGTTCCATTTATATAAAACTAATCTATAATGACAGGAAACAGATCAGTTGTTGCTCAGGTGGGGGGCCTGGGTTGAAAGAGGGAGTTATAAAGGGGCATGAGGAAACTGAGGTAAAAGGTATGTTCTAGTTTGTAGCAATAGCTTCACAGATGTATATGTCAAAACATATTAAACTACATATTTTTACTGTACAGCAAATTGTATTGTCAATTATATCTCTAAAACTATTTTTAGAAACACATGGGCTGGGCATGGAGGTACATGTCTGTCATGCCAGCACTCAGGAGGCAGAGGCAGTATTGTGAGTTTGAGGCCAGCTAGGCAGGGCTACATACACAAAAACAAAACAAGCTGGGTGCTGGTGACTCATGCTTATAATTCTAGCTCCTTGGGAAACAGCCTGGGCAATTTGCAAGATCCCATCTCAATGGAAAAAAGGTGGGTATGGTAGTATATGCCTGTCATGCCAGCTACAGCAGGAAGCCTAAAATAGGAAGAGTTCAGTCCAGGCTGGCCTGGGTAAAAAGTGAGACCTTATCTCCAAAATAACCAGAGCAAAAAAGGGCTGGTGTGTGGTAGCGTACCTACCTAGCAAAGATGAAGCCCTGAGTGCAAACTCCAGTATTGCTCCCCGCAAAAAAATGAACTGAGACATCTTTATTTTTTAATTTGAATAGCTAAAATAAACTGACAGTCCTAAATGCTGATAAGGATGTGAGCAATTGGAATTCTCATACCTGTTGCTGGGGATGCAAAGCAGTAACCATTTTGGAAAAGTTTGGCAGTCACTTACAAAAATTAAACATACCCGTATCCCACAGTAACAGTCCCACTCCAAGAGAAATAAAAAGATGTCCACATAAAAATCCATAAGCAAAAAATGTACTGAACCTGAATATCTTTCAATTGGTAAATGAATAAGCACATTTGTGATATATCCATATAATGACTACTAACTCAGCAATAAAGGGGAATGGTTGGTTCCACTCAGTGACATGTATGAATCTCTTCTATGTTAAATTAGAGACCACATTCAGAAGGCTATGTATTCTATCATTCCACCCTGATGACAATCTGGAAAATGCAAACCATGGGGACAGAAAGCTGATCAGCAGTTCCAGGAGTTGGGGTTGGTGGGAGGGATTAAAGGGGGGTGGGGGGTGGTAGAAGTTTTGTTTCAGTTGTGGTGGTTACAAGTTTTTATGTACTTGTCAAAACTCAGAACTGTATTCTGGTTTTCTTTTTTTAAAGTCATCTTAGAGGTAAAAATGATCCCTTTACCTACAAACATCAGGGAAGAGATAATATTATGCATTATAAGCAAGATGTTTGAAAAGATCTAATTTGGTAAGGTGTTAAATGAGAACTTTCATATCAGCCTTGTTCTCCTCTGTAACAGACTTGCATAAATACTCATAACTGTAACCATGTGTTGAAATGAATCTAACCCTGGAATATGTCATGCAAAATACCGAGATTCCAAAATCTATTCCTATATCATGTGAGAATATAACTCCCCAATTTTTTTTGGCAGTACTGGAGTTTGAACTCAGGGCATGTGCTAACTAGGTTTAGCACCTTGTGCTAAACCACTTGAGCCTCACCCTAATCCTGAAACTTTCTTTTTTTTTAAATTCATATATGCATACAATGTTTGGGTCATTTCTCACCCCTTCCCCCACACACTCCCTTACCCCCCCCGCCCCCTCCCTCTCCTCCCCACCCCCTCGATACCCGGCAGAAACTATTTTGCACTTAGCTCTAATTTTGTTGAAGAGAGAGTATAAGCAATAATAGGAAGGAACAAGGGTTTTTGCTAGTTGAGATAAGGATAGCTATACAAGGCATTGACTCACATTGATTTCCTGTGCATGTGTGTTACCTTCTAGGTTAATTCTTCCCAAACTAACC